AAAGAAATAGGTGGGGTGATAGGATTTGGGGTTTTCCTCCCAGCTTGGCAGTGGCTCGAAGAGGGATGCTGGCTCTGTTTCCCAGCACGGTCACCTCTGCACTAACCACTGAAAAGCACGTGGTGAGCCCCACGGGGACGGGGAGCTCACAATGCACACTTTCCATCCCAAGGCAGGGCAGTGTGCTGCACGGCCCCATGCGTGCTCCCATTTTTTGAGGCAATTCCCCACAATCCACACCACCAGAGGGGAAGCACAGGCTGCACGTGCCTGGAAAGCCCCAGGCAGAGGTTCATTAAGCTAATTATGGTGCTGCAAACCTTTCATCTCAGACAAGGCTACGGAAAGTTCTCCTTCATGGGCTGCCCTGGGGTGCAGTGAGCTGATGCACGCTGTGAGCATGGTGGGCTTGGGGAGATGTGTTCCAAAGGAGAAGTAGAGGAGAACTCAGAGCAAACTGTTTCTTGGGGCAACCTGAGATCCTCGTCAGCTCTGCTTCCTCCTTGTAACTACCCAGAAAGCCAGCAGAGCCCCTGGTCTGTGCATTGCCCACACCGGGATGTCCACAATGTTGGAGGGGAAATGAGCTCACCCATAACTTGAGGCACATAAAGAAGAGGCTGTGGGAGATGCTTCTCATCATCCCTGCAAAGTCGCAGCTGGGAGAAAAGGAACAGAAGCTGTGGGTGCCCCCAGAGGGGATCAAGGCCAGGCTGGATGGGGCCCTGGGCAGCCTGATCTGGTGGGGGGCACACAGCCCTTGGGGGTTGGAAATGGATTCTCTTCAAGGTCCCTCCCAACTCCAGCTGTTCTATGATTCCGTGATCAGCTCGAGCCTGACCTTCTGACTGATGCCCCAGCTCTGGGTGGGACACCTCCTGCAGCACTGTGCCCTTCTCCCACACCAACACCTCACCACAGCGCCAGCAGTCAGAGCCCCACGCCTCCCCCCCCAGCACCCATCCCCATCTAAATGCATCACCATGCTCACAGCTCGCTGAGTGGCGGCTGGGCTCCTCGTTAAAGGACACGGTGAGAAGTTTCTCCTCCAAGCATGTGAAAGCTCCCCCTCCTCTTGATGGAGTGCCGCAGCAGTAATTAACATTAATGACATACCTAAGGAGAAGCAGAGCCCGGAGCAGAGGGATGATGGCAGCACAGAGCCAGCTCGGGACGGAGGTAAGCCATCACTGTCAGGGCATGGTGTGTGAGCCGTGCTTTGAGAAGGCTGGAGGTGATCCAGAACCTGTGCACGGCTCCACTGACTCACCACCAAAGCACAGAGATTAATCAGGAGGGCTATTTGGAAACAGGGATGCTGCTCGTTTGGCTCTCCCAGTCCCCACTCTGCAGTGCTCTGCTTGCTGCACCTGGGCTGGGGTGGTCTCTGAGTTTTCAGGTAGCATACAAGAGGGAAAACATAGCCCTTAAGATACTGCCTAGGGACTGTGTGTACATTTAGGGAGAGTCACTGATGCTCGTCCCCATCACCACAAGCCCACATGCGTCGCCAAGGCTGGAAGAAGCAGTGCCAGACAAGAGCTGCCTCAGCGCAGCCCATGTAGAACGGGAAATAATTGATCTGCTTGGTGATTGGGATGGATATGAGGGGAAAACATCGTTATGGCAAGGCTGCAGGACAGCAGGATGAATGACCCACTGCTGAACTCGTTAACGAGGGGCAGCCTAACAGGGGGGCAGTGAGTGGGAGCCCTCTGCTCTGTTTCCTGCCTGGGTGCCATACCTCAACCCACCCTACAAACGGGCACGGCTGAGCCAGCATGAATCCAGGCACACAGGGATCCTCTTTTTCCTGAGGGATACAATAAAAAAATGGCTAACACTGGGGAAGGACAGCTGCTCCAGCTCCAGGATGAGTTTGCAGATGCTCAGCCAACAATCCTGAGCAACACATTCTGCAAAGAGTGTGCTCATAGAATCATAGAATCATAGCATCACCAAGGTTGGAAAAGACCTAAAAGATCACCCAGTCCAACCGTTCACCTATTCCCAATAGCTCCCACTAAACCATGTCCCTCAACACACAACATCCAGCCTTTCCTTGAACACCCCCAGGGTCGGTGATTCCACCACCTCCGTGGGCATCCATTGCAGTGCCTGACCACCCTTACTGAGAAGTAATACTTCCTCATGTCCAGCCTGAATCTCCCCTGCCGTAGCTTGTGCTCACAGCACAGCACTTTTGAGGGGATGTTTTTGCTCTCGTTGAAGAAATAATCACCTCCAGCAGGGCTGCCCAGGGCAGAGCCAGTGCCTGGGGGAGGCAAAGCGAAAGGGAAGAGCAAGGGACATGGGAGATGCACCATTCTCAGGGGGTTTTCTATTACACAAGATGGAGAAGCAACCACCCACAGTAGAGGTGCAAGATGTGAGCATTGCATAGGGCCAGGTGCAACAGAAATGAGCAGAAGGTTAGAGCTGGAACTATCACAAAGGCAAGGCAAAGAGTCACCAGCCCAGGCAGCACCACCCAGACTGTGAAAAACAGCATTCAAACCCAACCTCAACGCCTGGTGCCCATCCCCAGGTTGCCTTCCTCACCAGCACACCCAACCCCACCTGCACAAACGCCCTCAGTGCAATTCCCAACCTTTTGCCCTTCAAACCTCACCCCTCCACACACCTGCAGGGGTTCACCTGGGCTCCCTTTGAACCATCCCAACTTTCTCTCCCCAGACAATGTCTTTCTTTTAAGGCCTTGCACAGGCTGTTTGCTTTCTGAGGTTGCTTGTTGGGTTTGGTGTTTGGGGCTTTTTGGTGTTTTTTTTTTGCTTTCTTGCTGATGAATAATCATTAACTACCCGTGAAAGATGTAAATGGCCCGTGGAACTCATGAGATATTAAATGGGCATTATATTATCAGCCACTCTAAATGTTTGGTTTCCGTTTCAAGACCAATCATGAGATGTTTATGGATTGTGGATTTATGGAAGCCAGGGGATCTTTCAAGGAGTAATGTTCCATGCTCCAGAGTTACGGTCAGCAGCTGGAGGCTGTAAGCTCCCAGAGTTTAACCCCTGCTGCAGAAAGCTTCAGCATCCAGAACTGATTAAACCCTAGAAACAAGCTCGGAAGCAAAACGTGAGCAAATGCACCAGCTATCATAGAAAGGAAAGCAGCAGCCACATGATGGGGACAAGGCTGAGCCCAAGGCCTTGCTGTGGTCAGCCCGTCCCCATAGGGGACAGCCCCTGGGGGGGGTCCCAGCAGGTGGGGGTCTGCAAAGAGGCAGCGCGGGGTTACACCCGCAGTAACGAGGAGGTCAATGTGCTGAAAGCACGGCTGTGCCGTGGGAAAAAAAACATTTGGAGCCAAAAGCTCCATTTCAGTGGTCCTCGGGGCTGAGGTCAGGAGGAAAACCGCCTCCTGCAGGGAGCACAGCGGAGAGGGACGTCGTGAAAATGGTGACATTAAGAGAAACCGTCCCATCACACAGCCGTAAGGCTGCAGCACCGTGCCGTGTTCAGCTGCTGCAGGGCAGGGCGAAATGAAGCTGCCTCCTAAACGCACTAATTGTCATCCCCGAGCACTAATGGGATTAGGAAGCGGGATTTAGTGGTTGCCTCCTGAAAATCATTAAGTGCCATTAGAGAAAATTAACCTCCTCAGCACTCCTAGCTGCTCTAGGGCTGGGTCTCGCAGCACCCCATCCTTCCATACCCCCCAGATGAGCACCCCACCGATGCCCTATCAATATTTGTTCCCTTTCCTCTGTTAATTGATTTTAATCTCCCCTTGGGCTGCAGCTGGTGGCCAGTGAAGGGGAATCATCCCAGCAACCGAGGTGGCACTGGGCAGAGGGACACGGTGAGGGATGGGGCTGTGAGGCTGTGCTGATGTAAAAGCCCTCTCTGATGTTTATGAGCCCCCTTGGCTCACACAAAGAAGTCACGGCACCCCACTCCCTGCCTCACCCGTCCCCGTGGGGAAGCAGCAGATGAAAGCTTTCGTGCTCTGTGCGCATCTCCAGCCTCACCCTGAAGCCGTGTCACCATGACCCGGGGTGTGCAATGATCAAACGACTCAGGAGAACCGAAGGCAGCACCGGGGGAGGGGGGGAGTGCAGTTTCCCAAGCGTCGCCTTGCAGGAACCCAAATCAAATCATTTCCCAAAGAGTTTCCCATTTACAGACAGAAATCCATCACCGCCCATACGGGAGGAGGATGGCCGCCCTCACTGCTTGCACCGAGCGCTGCCACAGCTGCTGGGGTTGGGGGCTATAGGGTCGCCACACACTGCAACCCGATCTCAGCACAGAGCTGAAGGGTTTGGGGTTTGCTCCCTAAAAGGGCCCGAAGGAGCAGGCAGGGATAAGTTCGCTTCCCAGCACTGCAGCAGCCTCTGCCGGCACCGGGCTGCAGAGCAGGAGCAGCCGGAGCGCCGCGTTAACGCCGGGGATGCAAAGCCACCGGGAACGGCGACAGGGGAAGGTGTGGGAAATGTGCCGTGCTGCAGCTGGAGGAGGATTTTGTTCCCTGTTTGGATCTCGTGGCCCGGCTGCACGTTGGGTCCCAGCCCTGCCTTGGGGAGGTGTTTAATAGGAGCACCCCAAAACTGCATCCAGGCATAGCAGTGTGGAATATCCCAAGCTGCAGGGGGTCCGTGGAGATCACCAAATCCAACCCTTGGTCCCAAAGAATCACGGAATCGCTGAGGTTGGAAAAGACCTCTGAGATCACCAAGCCCACCCCCACCATACCCACTGCCCACATCCCTCAGTGCCACTTCTCCCCGCTCCAGGGACGGTGACCCCACCACCTCCCTGGGCAGCACACGCAACACCCAAAACCCAAACCCCACGGCTTAGAGCAGCGTCCCATTGCTCCTGAATGCAGCCCAGGGCCGTGCCCACCGCCCTGGGGACCTGTGCCGTGCCCAATTCCCACTGGGGCAGAATCTTTCCTTAACCCCACTCTGACACATCTCCATGCCTCTCCCTCGGCTCACCATTTGGGACCCCAGGGATGACCCCACTTACTTGGGGGTGTGCGCCTCATCCACGCGGTGCCCCAGCTGGAACTCGTGCGACTTGCTGCGGTGCAGGGCTGTGAAGCCAGGCAGGAGGTGGATGAGTTTTCGGGAGGCAGGTGGGGGGGGTGCCGGGGGGTTTCAGCTTGTTCCTGCGGCGCAGCGGCGGCGTGCCCGGCGGTGTCATGGTGGTGACGATGTTGGGGGTGCGCGGCGGGGTGTGAGCGGCGTGCCGCTGCCGAGGGGAGGGAGGCAGGGAACGGTGGCCGGATTCCACGGGGGGACACAGCCCCGGGTGGCCCTCCACAGTCAGGCGGTCCACGTGGGTGTAGAGGGGGCCGTGGCAGTGGTGCTGGGCGCACTTGGCGGGGGGTTTGGGGCTGGCCGAGAGGTGCGTGCGGCTCCACGGGGCGGCTTCTTGAGGACAGCCTGGCTGGTTCTCCTTGCCCGGCTCCGTCGTGGGCCATTGGATGGTCCAGTCCTGCTTGGAGAGGCTGCCGCCTGCGACAGAGCACATATAGAGCCGTGGGGAGGGTGACTCGCAGCCTGCTGATGCCCTCATCCCACCTACAGCCCTTATGGAGGGGTCCATCCCAAACCCACCCCGGGAACAAAGAGCCCATCCAAGCTCCGACAGCCCCGTCTCATTTCACCCCTTTGTATTGGTGCGGTTTGCAGAAACGAAAGGGGGGGAAAGACCGACAAAAAGGGAGCGTGGCACCTCGCAACCCCTCATTACCAGTCTCTGCAGTGCAGGGATGAGTGAGGAGCTGTCGGCTGCGACTTCAGAGTGCCACAGTGATGGAGCAGCTCTGAGCTCCCAGCCCCGACCGCTTTTGATCGCCGCCTCGAAGGCAAGCAGCAAAAGAAATGTTGTCTCTTTATTTTAAAAGCACCTCTCCCCATCCCTTTGTTTGGTTATTAATTGCTGGCCCCCTTATCTAACTGAGCTTCTTTGAGGGGAGCTCTTTGCTTCAGGCTCAGAGAGGGGTAAAACAAAGGAGGAGAGGGCTTTGGGATTGCAAAAGCTTTGGGATTGGATTGATAGGGGAAAGGGGGTGATGGGTTTTCTCGGATTGTTCCGAAGCAGAAAATGAAGTTAATGAAGATGCAAATCCCTCTGTAGGAAAACCTCACGCCTCGTGCCATACAAGAACACTGCCACCCAGTGGGATCTGTGTGGGGCGATGCCAAACCGAGGGAGCAGCACCCCTGAGGAGCTCGGGGCAGCTTCTTCCCTTTCCTTCCCCAAAAGCAGCACACAGTGACCAGGTGGGCACTGACATCATGCATGGCACCCAGCCCTGTCCCCACTGCACACCAAGGGGTGCACCCTGCAGGCTGGCCTCAAAATGAGGATGCCCAGCGCCTCACATCACCCCATCCCACACCTCAATTTACTTCTAAAGTCACTCTCAGCCCCTCCAAAGCCGAAGCTTTCCCCTGCAGCAGGCAGAATTTGGGCCGGAGGTTCCCACGTCCCCACTGCCATCGCCCTGTGGCCTCACACAAACACAGTGCTGCACCATTCCCCAGTAACTCCAGCTCACAGCTCCATCCACAGGCCCTGCTCAGCTCTCACTTCAAGCCCTGCTCTGCTAATAAATCCTGCAGCCAAGCACACAGCAGAGAGAAATCCCATGCTACTGTTTAGCACAGTAACGTTAAAACCGGGTCGGTGCTGGATTTGATGGAGCAATGTGCTGCCCTCTGTGTGCTACCCAGGGATCCTTCCAGCACACACGTGGGTCAGAAGGGTCCCCCATTACCCAAAACCACCCAGGCAAAACACACTGCCATCAGAGCCACGAAGGAGAGACCCTCCTCCTCCTCCCAGCCCCATCCACGCAGGGAATTGGCTTGGGAAATTAGCGGCCCCTAATGAACAACTCGATAAATAGAGATGGATGGAAAAGGTTATCAGCCACACCTCATTGCTGCTTTATTAGAGCTAATCTGGGCTTCTAGAAATTGACCACCACAGCGGCTCAAGGAGATGTTACATGGTGATATGGAGAGGCAGCACTCTGCTCCTCAGTGGCATCGGGAGGGCTGCTGGTGCAGGAGCTCCCATAGGGCAGCCCAGTGCCCTCCTGCAGCCCCCAGCAGCTTCCAGCAAACACTCTCAGCCTCTCTGCCTGAGCGGGGGGCTCACGTGTGTTTTCCAAATGGGAATTCCCTCTGCTGAGTGCAGCCCAAAAAAAAAAAAGGGCAGGAGGGGGTGCGAGTCAAGCTGCGTTTGTTTGCACCGGGCTTTAAAAGTCAAAGGTGTTTAAACAAAACGTCGGCTGAGAGCCTGCCTGGGCTGCTGCCCTTCCTCAAATATCGGAGAGATTTAGGGAAAATGCCGAAGGGAAGAGGGCAGAAATCCAGGCAGGAGCTGGATTTGGGGAGCAGTCCTTTGGGGCGGTGGGGCTCTGTAGGAAATGTCAGGCTGGGCTGCAGCCCTCCCACCTCACTGCTCTGCCGTGACACCGCAGCGGGTCACAACCCCAGCAGGGATCATCCTGCACGCCCCATATCCACTGGGATGCTCCTGTGTGGGCAGGGACCATCCTCCCCCCTGCTTGATCCATCCTCCGGGGTGCAATGAAGCACGGGGGGGACAGCAGCAGCCTGGGGTGCTCCAAACTGCCCCCTTCCCACCTGCAAGGGATGCTCCTGGGGAGGGAAGACAGAGCACGAACAGCTCAAGGATGCCAAGAGGTTTGGAGACGGCCCCAGGGAGGAGACCCCCGCCCTTCTGCCACCCTCTGCCTCCAACCCCCCCATTTCCAGCCTTCAACCCCTACGTTCCGCCTTCCAGCTTCCCCTTCCGAGCATCGCTGCATCTCAGCGGATCGCTGCTGCCACCGCCCGGCCGCACCGCACCGCACCGCACCGCCAAGCCCTCCCCCCGCCCTCTCACCACGCAGGAGCAAGGCTTCGGCACAGGGATGCGGTGGGGCCTTTAGAGGCTACAGGGCTTTCCCAGCCTCCCCACCTTCACCCCCCATCAGCCTCCTTGCCACATGGCTGGTACCCAACCGCGGGGATGCGTGTGGTACCCAGCACCCAAACAGGGTCTCCTCTCCCTATTTCAGACCACAACCCCCTCTCCCAAGTCTTTTCCCAGGTCACCAGCCCTGCTCACCAGACTTATGGACGCTGCGGAGGCAGGAGAGGGATGCGTTGAGGCGGGCGCACTCCTCACTGTTGGCCCCAAACTTCTCCACCGTCTCACAGACCTGATCATCAGTCATCTCCAGCAGCTCCTCCAGGCTCAGCTGCCCTGGGGCTATTTCCTACCAAGGGGGGGAAGAAAGAAGGGGAAAAACCATCCGTGGGCATCTGCTGCTCGATGAGCACTTTGGGGTATGGATCAAGGAGCCATTCCCTCCTGAGGGATTTGGGGAGGTTCTGGGGTTCTGTGTGACATGTCCTGCACAGCTGTCCACACCCGCAGCTGGCAGAGCATGGGGGGCTCTGGCCAGCACCCCCCCCATCCCGCCTTGTAGCATCTCTCCATGCAGTGAAACAATTGGGTCCCATTGCTCTCCCACCCCATTTTCTACCAGCACTTGCTATGCTGATCCTATAGCCTAAAAGCACAGCTCTGGGGCAGCTTCCATCCCGGGGAACAACTGTCTCTCCTTGGCAAATTTTACTCAAGAGCCCCAAGGCTGGGAACTGAGATGAATCCCCCCAGTGTGGGAGATGGTACGGGATTCCAACACAGGAGATGGGGCGGATCACCAACCAGGAGACATGGTGGATGGCCCCAAGCTGGGAGAAGATTAGAGGGATCCCCAGCCTGGGGGATGATGGGATGGATCCCTCAGACCAGGGAGACGGCACGGATCTCCACCTGGGCACATGTGGTGGATCACCAACCCAGGAGACGATAAGATGGATCCCCATAAGATGGATGCTGGGATGGGTGCTCCCAGAATGTGAGATGGTAAGGACCTCCAACTCAGCAGACGTGGTGCAGCACCCCAATGCAGGAGACGACGGGACGGATCCCCATCCCTACCTCCATCACCTCCTTGCGGATGTCGACGATGCGGAACCAGTGCAGGAGCTGGGGGAAGCCCTCCAGCTTGGCGTTGCGCTCCTGCAGGGCCACCTTCCTCTTGCAGGAGAGCTGCCGGCTGAAGTACTTGACCAGCTTGCTCTGCGAGACAAGGGAAAACCCCATGGGAGCCCCCTCCTCTCCCACTCCATCCAGCTGGAAATCAAGCTATCTCAGCTCCATCCCCAGCCCCAAATCCCTCCGCTCTAGGGATGGATGGTCATCGCCCCGCAGGTTCCCTCTGATGCAGGAGAGAGGAATGACAGGGACAGCCCTTCTCCATCGCAGCTCACCTGCTGACCCAACTCACACCCAATATCAGTGCAAAGAGACCCCACAAACACCCCCCCCACGCCTGGAGCATCCCTGCATCCCAGCTCTCACTCTGTATTCCCTTCCCACGGCAGCAGTGCACACCCACCTCCTTCCCCGGGCCCAGCACCACTGCGAAGCCATCGCACTCACAAGCTCAGCTCCCAAAATAACGCCGCCGAGCGCCTGCCCTCCTTTCTGGGAAATGTAGAGCAGAGCCCTGGGAGCCTGCAGGGATTTCCCACTCTGCTCTCCAGCTGGGAGATTCCCCGCCGCCGGCAGCGCTAGATGGAGCTGTGCCCCTGCCCAGCACCCCAGAAATAGACGTGTCGGGAACGGAACACACGGTGGGACGGATGGGCGCACGGAGTGACACCCCCAGCCCTGGTGCAGCCCCATTCAGTCTGAGGTTATTACCGAATATTACTGCCTGAAATAAAGCCACGGAGAGCCAACCGAGAAAGTCGTATGAGATTCCTGCATCACCCCTCGGAGCTGGGGCGGTCCCCACGGATGCTTCTTAAGTGAATCTTCCTCCAAGAGCCTCCAAGGAGGGGTTGGGGAGCACTGTGCCCTTTTTCCCACCCCAGAGGGGCTCACAGTGCTGTGATTTGTGGGCACCACACAAACCTTTCCCCGTCCCTACAGGAGGGCTGGAACACACGCAGAGCTGCACAGCCACGGGGAGAGCCGGGCACAGCGCTGCCTCCAAGCACCTCCATCCCAGCACCTCCCCTTGGGACGGGCAGCAGCGGGGTTTCCGAGCTGCACCGACACAGGGACAGGGCTGGGACACAGGACACAAGTGCCACCAGTGTCACAGGGACGGGCCAGGAGCTGGGCAAGGATGGGATCAGGATCTGATGGGAAAAAAAAAAAAACCCGCAGATCCCCTATGGATGCACCTATTCAGAGCTGCAGGTGGGAACACCTGCATCACAGCCTGGAGAGAGCAGAGGCGCTTCGTTAGTGCTAATGAGGGCACAGGTGGGTCCCCGCTCCGGCAGCATCCCCTGGGCCCACAGGGGTGTAAAGGAGCCGTCCCAAGAGCAGCACAGTGCCCTCCACCTCCACATCAAACGTTTGGAATCCTGCACTGCCACCTCGACCCTGCGCAGCCCCTTGGGCTCAGCCGTGCCTCGGTTTTCCATCTGTGAAATGGGCAGAGCAGGGGCAGTGCTGCGGGGCTGCAGGCAGCAGCAGGGGGCCGCCTGGGGGGCAGCAGAGCCTTGTGGCACCTGTATGCAGATGTGTGCTCTATCCATCCGTATGAATTTTACATATAGGTGCATGTTTCACGCATGCATGCTTGCCCCTAGGGGTGCCCTTCCAGGTGCCTCTCCTTGCAGGGCCAGCAGCAGCAGCGTCCCCTTAACACCATTCCCCTGCACGGGGGTACAGGCTGTGCTCGGGGCTCTCCAACCCTTCGGTGACCCTCAGTGGGATTTCCCTATCTTGTTCCCCCAGCAGGGACAGATGCCACGGGGATCCCGAAATCCAAGAAACGAGCAGAATCTTTACTCTTCATCCTTTGAAACGAGGATTTAGGAAAATCAACTCACAGCAGTGCCTCCCCGCTTCGCTCCAGCCAAGCGGTGCCCCCGCACCTGCGTCACGGCCTTGGGACGTGGCAGCGGCGGCTCAGGGCCACGCATGGCCCCACTGATGCCAACAGAACCCCAGCACAGTGCCACCAGGAGCCCACGGATCCATCACCTCCATCATCTCCTTCAGTCCCACCCGTGAGAGGGAGATGAGAGCCCCAGAGCGGCACCCAGCCCATGCAGGGCCATGGGATGCACCGGGTGCAGCTGGATAAACCTGCACCGCCTGCCCCAAAACTGCCACGGCTCCAAAATCCTTCCTGTAGGACCCCCACCCACAGCCCCCGTCTTTTCCCCATCCTGTGATGTGGATGTGGCCAGGCCAAGAGATGTGGTCCAGTGGGAAGAATGCAGCCTGATGGGGAGCCTGGAGGAAGGGATGAGATCGGGCCACGGGGTGGGATCCAACCAAAGGGATACAGCACAGTGAGGATGGAGGAGTTCAGGGGAGGGCTGCAACCCTATAGGGAATTAGGAACCTGGAGGATGAGATGTGGCTAAATCATAGGGCTGCAGCCCCGTGGTAGGACACAGCCTGGCCAAAGGGATGCAGCTGGTGAGGATTTAGGGACCAGGAGGAAGGGATGCGGCCAGGCCACAGCGATGCAGCCTGGTAGGGACTTAGGATCCTGGTGGGTAGGATGCAACCTGGCCAAAGGGCTGTGGCCATCCCTGATGGAGGTGAGAGCCCAGAGGAAAGGATGCAGGCTGACTGGGAGCTCGGAACCCGGAGGAAAGGATGCAGCCAGGCCACAGGGATGCAGCTCAGTGGGGAATTAGGAGCCTGGAGCAAGGGATGCAGCCCCATTGAATGAATGCAGGCTGATGGAGAACTGGGAACCCAAAGGAAGGGATGTGGCCAAACCATAGGGATTGCAGCCCCACGGCCAGGATGCAGACAGGCCAAAGGGATGCCGCCGATGGGGAGACAGGAGCCCAAAGGAAGGGATGCAGCCAGGCCCAAGGACGCATCCTGATAGGGATTTAGGATCCTGGAGAAAGGAACGAGGGCAGGCCACGGGGACGAAGCCCCGTGCGGATCAGGCAGCCCGGCCAAAGGGACGCAGCCAGGCGAGGATACAGGAGGCAGCAGGGATGCAGGCAGGCCGTGGGACGCAGCGCGGGGTCGGACGCGGGGTCCCGGCGGCGGGGATGCGCGCAGGCCGGGGGACACCGAGGGGACACCGCGGTGACACGAAGGAGGCCCGGCGCGCCCCGGGAGCTGCGGCCGAGCATCCTCCGGAGCCGCGGTCCCCCCTCGGCCACCTGCAGAACGCGCAGCCTCACTCGGCCGCTCCGCAGCGCCGCGGGGAGCCCGGAGGGGCCGGGGGGTGGGGGGGGGGGGGGCCCGGGGGGCCGGGGGCTGGGGGGGGGGGGTGATGGGGCCCGCACGGAGAGATGGGGGGGAGTGGGGGGGCCCGGCCCTACCTCCAGGGTGCGGATCTCCTTCTGCGTGAGGTCGTTGGAGGCGGCGCACTTGGTGCGGAGCCCCTCCAGGTTGGAGATGCTAATGTCGATCATGTTCTGGACCAGCTCGCACTGCTGCAGCGCCTTCTGCAAACTCAGCTGCTGCTGCTCCTCGCTCCTCGTCATGTTTTCCTCATCCATCGCTCGCCGCCCCCCCCCCCCCCCCCCCCAGCCCGCTGCCCCCCCCCTCCGGGGCCCGGCCCGCAGCATCGCCCCGCCGTGCCCACCGCCCGTCCGTGCGGCCGCCTTTCCCCCCCCCCTCCTCCGGGCGCGGCGGGGCGGGGGCGGGGGCGGCGCGCTCCGGGAGCGCGGGGACGCGCGTTGGATGCGCGCCGCTCCGCACCGCACCGCACCGCACCGCGGGGAGAGCGCGGCGCAGAGAGAGGGGAGCGGCGGAGGGAGCGGTGGGGAGTGGTGCTGCAGAGGATGGGAGGAGGATCGGGTCCGGGGGGGGCCTATGGGGTGTTGAGGGGCAATGGGGTGAGGGGGCTATTGGGGGCCTATGGGGTGGTGGGAGGCTGTGGGATAAACGGGGTTGGGGGATAATGTGGGGCTACGGGAGGTTGGAGGGTAAGGGGATCTGTGGGATGCTGGGGGGCTAGGGGGCAGTGGGATGCCTTGGGGTAATGGGGTAAGAGGGGGCTATGGGGTGATGGGGAGGGTATTGGGTTATGGGGGGCTCTGGGGTCATAGGGGGCTATGGGGTGATGGGGAGGGTATTGGGTTATGGGGGGCTAG